TATTGATGTTATTTTTCTACTTTAATTGGATGTTAGGTACATAAGGGTTTATTTTTCATTTGTTTTGTACTACTTTGATTTTTGTATTACTCTCTGTAATAAGGACTTTATTAAAGTCAAAGAGGGTGATTTTTTTCTATTTCTCTTTATGGTGGCAATTGAGATGAATTTCTATTAGAATTTTTGTTCATTTTCTCCCTATATGGAATCCTAAACTCTCAGGAGAGGGCTTTCCATGGAGGCTTTTTCCGTCCCCACCGTAAATTTTTTATTGTCTCTTAATAAGAAAAATCAGTCACTATCCTTGACCTATCATGAGTTCATGTCTTTTCCCCTTTTGTATCATTAAAATTTTAATTTCTGCATTCTTTTGATGTTCCCTGAAAAACTCTGGGTAGACACTATATTATGAAAACTCTTTCCAGACATAATCCATGAATATCATCATACTTTGATATTTCTCTGGGCAATTGAAGAAAATCTTATTATAGTTTACTAGAATTTTGTATATTCTTAACCTATAACTATTATTCAGCTTGGGGTACAAATTACCTAAAGGATTCTAAAAATGTTCTAATGAGTGTGAATGATAAAAGATAAGCAGAGCCATCCTTTTCCAATGGCAGATTCTTTCTTTATGCTCTAAAGAAATGGGTCACAAGCCATATTGGCTTAGAAGGGTAATCATGTTTTTACCTATTTGACCATTCTGCACTCAACCACTAAAATTAAATTACAGATTCAAAATTCTAATTTTCAGTAAATAATTGAAAGCTTCAGATTTTTTGTAATTGAGGCTCCCAAATATTAGCAATAGTCTAGTCAGAATAATCAGGAAGGGCTACCGCTGTGAAAACAATACAACAGTGACAGGCTTTTCATTGCTATTTTATGGAAGGACAAACTAGAACATGTCTTTATTAGGGAGACCTGCTCAAATAAATGTGTTTTTTATTTGTTTGTTTGGTGTTTTTTTTTTTTTTTTTTTTTGGTACCAGGGAGTGAACTCAGGGCCACTCGACCCCTGAGCCCCATCCCCAGTCCTGTTTTGTATTTTATTTAGAGACAGGGTTTCACTGAGTTCCTTAGTGCTTCACCATTGCTGAGGCTGGCTTTGAACTCACAATCCTCCTGCCTCAGCCTCCCAAGCCACTGTAAATGTATTTTTTTAAGATATAGTTTTCCTCCTGTCTATCAGCATATTTGTGTGTGTTTAATCTATTATTAAACAAATTAATTCTTGTTTTCATTGATAAGTCTAATATACTTTATTTACTGATGATTCCTAATGATGCAAAAATAAGGCAAGCTGCTTGTTATAGTTTTTCTTCTTTTATTTACCTTTGAAATATTTGTTAATAGTACAATTTAATTTTAAATTAAAAATTTAGATTGGTGATTCAAGTACCTTTGTTTAGTATACTTTCTTTTACTACATGGACTTTTTCATACAAATGAATCTATCCAGATATTGAAGAAAATGAAATCATCAAGGCTTATTAGAAATGTTATTGTCCCTGGAATGCTTCAAAGTAAACCATTGTAAAGAAAACAGGATGAATCCCATCCACAGCCAGTGAATCAGTATTAAACAGATACAATTAATCTTAAATATATAGAACAGCTTTGCTTATTTAAGAATTTTTATCATTGTAAAGCTGGAGATAATCCTTGTCCTCCTGAGAGGAAATACTGAACAACAGCTGCATGAAGCCATTATTCTTGCAGGACTACTTAAAAATGAATAAGAGCTGTCTTAGCATATGAAGTTAAATAAAAAGTGTGATCATTTGGGCAAGTAAAAAATTTTTTAGATTCCTTCAGGATTGTTTTCAGAATGGCCTTGGAAGGAGAAGATCCAGAAATGGAGAAAAGCTGATGAAACCCTACATGATGGGTATAGCCAAAGTATCTGCTGCTGGATCAAAGAACAGTATGAAGTAGTGCATTTTCTTATGCTTAAAAGGCATATATACCTGGAACTGTTGAGAGATTGACGCTAACCTTCCCCTTACAAGTTAGTCTAGTGTAACTTGATCATATTGTTGATCTTCATTCACTATATTTAAAATTATGATTTCTTTGAAAATAGCACCTTGTTTCAAAACTTGATGGTAGTAAGAAATTTCAATAAACTTCATTTTCAGTGAGCACTAACATTTGGAAATATCTATGACAAAACTCCACAGTAGCTCATGCTGTCCTCTGTGTCATTTACCAAGCACGTGTCACCTCAGATTGTCTCTTAGTGTTCACTGAGGTGGTAAAAAAACAAAAGAGGGGGAGATTTAGCTTAAAATCAATGAATGGTTAGAATACGTATATTTTTAGACATTTTAACAACAAAACCATTCACTTTGAAAACATGCTAAGTACATGTATATTTGTATATTGCTTAGACAGGGAAGACGAATTTCTGAAATCAAAATTAAATTAGTCTTTGTGGAGAAGAAAGGCATTGTGGGGAAGAATAAAAAACAGGATTGACAGAGTGTATTCATGTTTTTCTTACTGATAAGCATGTAAGTTGGCTTATTGCTCATTTTTTTTCAATTTTTTTTTAGTTACATATGGACACAATACCTTTATTTTATTTTTATGTGGTGCTGAGGATTGAACCCAGTGCTTCACATGTACTAGGGTAGCACTCTACCACTAAGCCACAACACCAGCCCCTTATTGCTAATTTTTTTAAGATTGGATTTGATAGAGAGCAAATACATTCAGTTTAATTTCTCTTTTTTTCATACTCCGTATGAGTTATAAATATTAATCAAGTTTGAAAACTGAATGACAATATTTGATCATAGGAAATCATGAATCCTTTGAGAACTCCTTTATCTCTAATAAAAAATTGTTATTGGTAAAATAGATACTGTGATTAATAAGTTGCTTTTCTTTGATAGTTACTTCCCAGAGATAATAAAATGGAAGACCAAAGGAATCAGAAATTCTTTCAGTCCAAGGACACTAGTAATTAAACTTTCCAGAGAGAGGACATACTTAAAATTTCTACCATTTGGAGGAAACCATTGCCTCCTTAGGGCATCTCACTTCAGACAGTTTCCTGTTGGTTTATATATCATTTGTAAACACCAAACAATCAGGTACACATACATCCTCCATTATCGGGTGGGGAAACTGCAAAAAACTATGGTGTTTATATATATTGAAATCATGTGGTACCAGAAAGGAAGTATCCAAATATTATTTAGCTGATAGTCAAGTTACCAGTCATTTCTAAAAGGATAGACTCTAGGCAAAATATCATGCTCCTTTCTCTTTCACTATAATATTTTAGAAAATATATTTTAGAGAATATAAAATTTTTATGATTCTTAATAAAACATTTCACAGGTTGCGTCTAAGCATCCCCCTCCCCCAAATCATTGGACTGTTGATTCATAGCTTTAATACTTCTCTCATCTATAGATAGATGCTTTGGTAATTTTTAGAAACACTGTTCCTTGCAAGAAATGTTTTCCAATTCTCCTTTAAGTACATTTTATCATTATTGAGGGTTTTTGTTTGTTTGTTTGTTTTGCGATTTCTATGGAATAAACTCTGCATTTTTAAAAGTTATAAGAAAAGTAGTTGCTTGTAAGCATTTGAAGTTTTTTTTTTTCTTCACAGATGATCATTCTTTTTTTCTGAGTTGCCGATGTGGTGGAAAATACAGTGTTTCCAAAGATGAAGCAGAAGAAGTTAACCTGATTTCTTGTGATACATGTTCACTAATTATAGAACTACTTCATTATGGCTAAAATTGTTGACTACTATTGGAATACTTCAACTGTATATTCAGACATGATGATGAGAGGCCATTCGAGCATTAAGGAAATGGATTTTTTTTCTTCCCTATTATTTGCAAAGAAACGATAAGATTATCAAGCAGAGGTCACCTACATTTAAAGATTAATGTAGTTATTTATATGTACTTATAAACTATATTTACATTGCCATAAAAGGACTTGAGTTATATTTTATGGATTCCCATCTTAAAACCTTTGTTTTCTCCTTGATAAAACATAAGAATTCTTTTTCTTAACATAAATATGTCTCTTATTGGGAAATATTATTATCATATTCCATTATATTTATAAAGTGTCTAACTGATAATGTTCCCAACAGGTTACAGTTATAGGCCTATTTTATACCTACCTCAAATTCTAGTGTCATTATAATTAAATTAGAATCTCTGTGAACAATATGTGATCCCAGTTCTCCCATAATGAAGGCTGAATACGAAGAATAAAAAATGTGAAGTGACAACTAGAAAAATAGATTTGGAATTAAGACTTGGCTCCAGTCCTGGCCTTCTAGTTCTAAAATTTATGAACCTCACCATCTTCAACTTTAAGTATAATTTAGAATATGGAAGCTTTAAAAAATAGTCTGAAATTGGTACATCCCTTTCCTTTTTATTTCAAGGTGTTAGGTTTGGTGTTAATTGCCATATTTGTGAATAAGAACCATTTTATTGCTGGTATGATGGACTTTATAAAGTATTATTGCCTACAATAGCCTGTAAATGTCATATTCTTAAAGACGTATTTTTCTATACATTTAATGTTCTTGCACAGTCTAAATCAGAACTCATTTAAAGAACTTGATAGAATCTCTTATGGGATCACCGAAACTTTTTTACTTAACTTCAAATGAGTGAGTCAAGCTTGTAACTTAGAAGCTTTTTACTTAGAATGAACTCCTGATGTTGCAGATTGAACTTATAAATAAGAATAGTTACTATTCTGACTTACTTACTATAGCTGAAGTATAAGGCACTTTCAAGAAGAGTAGATTATTTTCACTTTACTTATATAAGACAAAAAATTTGCAAGTGAGGTATAGTCATTCAGGTCTCCCTGCAGATATTTTATATATAACATAAAATTTAGATGAAACACTGATCTTGGGTTATACTTATTTTTACACAAATATTTTGAACAAGAGTTTGCAGAATGGATTGTTTTTCTTTACATTTAACAAATAACTAAAACTGAACAGCAAATAGTTTATTGGTTAAGTACATGGTTTCAACTGCAGTAATAAATTCACTTGAACAGGAAACAATAATCAAGTCAAAAGAATAAATGCTTGCTAATTATCAGAAAATCTGTGGCCATTTGGGCTGTCTCGTAGAAATCCAAAATCACTCAGAGGCCAGATCTGTAAAACCAAAATGTGATTGAAGAAAATTAATAAAAGTGATGTTATATAATCATTATTCCCTTTTCCTTTTCATCCATTTTCTCTATGCTAAATAGTTAAATGCTTATCCTTACTTATCAGTCAAGAATAAAAATTTCTGCATCAGAAAAAGACTGTATAATGAATTAGAACAAATTACAAAATTAAGAAAAATTTTAAAAAAGGGTAAGACTTAGAAAATCACTTGTATGTATTTAAATGTTGAGTTTGGAACATTCAAATATACAAAAAATTCTCTGTGTGTATTTATGAATATATATGTCTGTTACATCTTGAACCTAAAGTTTTTAAGTTTTATGTATTTGAATATAATAATTGTAAAGAATTCTGGGAATTATCCAGTTGCCCCAGATACTCATGTGTTTTTCTTATTATTGCTTATGATTAAAAGGAGCCAGAAAAATCAATAAAAACAATAATCTTCCCTACGAGTTGTACATTTGCTTCAACCACAATAAACTGTCCATGATTCACTGTATTTAACTAGGGAATCCTTGCTTTATAGGTATTGTGAACCTAGACTGCTCTGCCACAAAATGCTTATTAAAATATGCCCAGATTGTATAAGAGAGAATTAGAACATTCAAATGAAAGGGTTCTTTTGCTACATCAGTGAGTTTTAATTTTATTATTATTGAAAAATCATTCTTAATACCTATTTTGTGAGACTAGGCAAGGGGAGATGAGAATGTTTCATATAGTGGTACTAAGTAAAAGCCAACATGTTATAAAATGTAGTTACTGCAACAGTTAAATCCACTGACATCTTGAAGATTTCAAAGGTTCATTTTGGGGAAATGCAGAGAATACAGTTTAGAGAATACAGTAAACATTTTAAGCACAAAACTGTACCTTAAAGAAGATTCGTCCTCTTATTAGTCCATATGGAATAGGTCCATAATACCTGGAATCTGTAGAATTCTGTAAATTATCACCTTCTAACCAAACATGACCTGTTGGCACCTAGAATGACAGAATAAGAGCAGCAGCCCCTTGAGAAACAATAAAATCTAATTTAGGTACTATCATTAAGAAGTATGTCATTTGGAATAGGGAGAAATATCCTAAAGTTTCTTTTAAAATACATACAAATCCTAAGTTGCATTTTTGCTTCTATTATTTCCTACACAATAAAATAAATACCAAAGGTTCCAATTTTTTAAAAGACCTGTCTTTTTTATAATCATACTGTTCTCAAACAGTAATTTGTTATACAAACCCCAAACTGAGGTTACAATAGATCAAAACTGTGACAGGGTCCATTAATTTAATAGATTTCAAAAGAGGTCATTAGGATACTGACTGAAAATGTGCCCTCCTGTCTCAATAACAGCATAAGCAGGGCAGCCACTCACTCAGCAACATCCTGGGGCCAATACCAAGGCCAGACCTATTAGAATGCTCATGATGAACTAAATGGTAATTGATTGTGACATCAATTACAAATAATCTCATCATTTTATTGGAGTAGGCTTGTCAGAATTCTAATTAAGATCCCTGTTCTGCTTTTGTACAGGCCATATCTTCAATGCATTATACTTTGATAATGACCATCAAGAACCAGAAGGACCTATTATAAAATCATCAGTCGTAAAATGAATGATGGTGACCTTCTACTAAATGAAAAAACTCTCTCATATGTTCTGAGTATTAACTGGTATTAAATAAGTTTGAATTTTTATTCAATGATGATCCATATAGTTAGAACAAAATACATTATTTAAAAAAATGCCTTCTGCAATATGAGATATTTGCCTACCATTTACTATTATCTGTTCAATTTAAACTTAAAAAATTACTCTCTAGAAACAGTCTTTAAAATTGCCTTTGCCAAGCTGTTATTTTATAGTTTTTGTTACCCAAGAAAATTTAATCATTCACCAGAAAATGATCTATTGGGAAGGAATTTATTTTCACTATTTCAATTGTTTTTGATAAAAGAGACTGCATTTTTTAGAATGATGAATCATATTTTGGAAAAAAAAATTACGCAAGCATGAAATTTTAATTTTACTTTAAAGAGATTCTGATTCCGAAATGGCATGTATCAGATACGAGTATTTGCCCAGAAACCTTTAATAATTTGCATGCAGCACTTCACGTTTAACACTGAAATGTTAAATCTATTATGTAAAAGTGGATATGTTTACTAAAAGAATATCAGAGAAAACCCAAGTGTATTTATGTGTACAAAAGCCAGATTGGAAATATATACATCAAAATGATAAAAAAAAAAAAAAATCAGAGTCTAAGATCACTCATTTTTATTAATGAAACTTACAAATCCTAGGGCCAATAAGCAAGATTAGTTCCTACCAATTCAATAAAATAGACAAATACAGAGAAACATTAAGATTGATCAAGAAGAAAAATGAGTATAAAATGAAAACAAAATAGTGAAGTTGGAAAAGCCATACATAACCAACATTCTCAAGTGTTAAACTGGGAAAAGACATAAGGTGAGGATTTTTTTGTGTTTAAATTTCCATAATTGCTCAAGATGCTTGTTCCTGAGTTTTAAAAATACTAGGTATGAATAAAAAAGGGGCACTATTATAAGCAAAAGAAAAACATTCCACATACGAATAAGGCAACATGCCAAAAATCTAAGGAGATTTCTATCCCTCTGACCATAAACCAGGATCCATGGTTTATACATTGATCTCTCCCTGAAGTTTTCCCCAAACTTATCTGCCTATACAAAATTCTCTTGATTATTTAGGGTATAAATCATGTAGTCAGCCTTGCTTGAGACCATGGATTATGATCTTTTTACTTGCTTGGTTTTTGTCTAAGTCTTCACTATTTTATGAGAAATTAGGTCAATAGGTAGTAATGTCATGATTTTAATTATTTTGAGTATTACTTTCATTATCATTACTTTCATAATACCAAAAATTATTAAATTTTTGCCAACCAGATTGTAAAAAAATGGTACCTTTGTGTGTTCATTTGCTTTTGTCTTATTATGAATGAGGCTGAATCTCTTCATGTGTTTAAAAGCCATATATAGAATTCCTTTTCTATGATCTCTCTTTGCATGTCTTCTGCCCTCTGTCTATTGGGTTGATGATCTCTTTCCTCCTTTCAAAGGAGCTCTTAAAATATTATGAAGATTAGCCCTTTGAGATAAAAATGACAAATACTTATTCCCAGTTTGTCATTTGTCTTATTAATCTCTGCTTTTATGACTTCTGGATTTTGAATCATAGTTAGAAAGATTTTCATGGTTCATTTTTTATATTTAAATATCCTTTTGGAATGTATCCTGAAAGACGCGTTGTACATGGTTTAGAATATTTTAAATTTCTGTTGATGTAAGGGGCTGGAATGTAGCTCAGTAGTAAAGCACTTGCCTACCATGCATAAAACCCAAGATTACTTTTGTGATAGTTATGGTAAGTTTCTTTTAAATTATTGAAATAAAATACTGAAGTACCTCAGTAAGATTAATAATACAGGAATCTTCTGAAAGAAGCCCAGAACTTGTCACCAGGAACCTTGGGGAGGAAAGTGACCCACGCTCTCTATATCTAGTCCTTAATTGCCAGGGTTGGTACCAAGGGGAGGAGGAGTAAAATCAGCATCCATATGTGGATTTTTTAGTTAATTTTATTGGATCCTTAAAACAACCTGTGAAATGCTGTTCCTGATGTTTTATAGAAGAAACAGGTTCAAATATGTGACATATCCTGCTCCTCTGAAGCTCATACATGGTACTACAACACCATGCCTCCATTTATAGTAAAGGAATAATACATCTCATGGACTTAACACTTCATGTTAAGTACACAAACCAAGAACAAGAAAACAACCTGATCACTGATATTACCTTTCATCTAACAAGAATTTCTCTTTACTACCCCCATACCACCTCCCCATTCCTCCCTCCCCTTTGCCCTATCTAGAGTTCATCTAATTCTCCCATACCCCCACCCCAACCACATTATGAATCAGCATCTTTAAGTCAGAGAAAACATTTGGTATTTGGTTTTTGGGGACTGGCTAACTTCACTTAGCATTATATTCTCCAACTCCATTTATTTTCACTATTTCAATTGGTTTTGATAAAAGAGATTGCATTTTGGGGGGACTGGCTAACTTCACTTAGCATTATATTCTCCAACCATCCATTTACCTGCAAATGCCATGATTTTATACTCACGAATGGTGTGACTCTACTTTGCGTACAACCAGAGATATGAAAAATTGTGCTCTATATGTGCAATATGAATTATAATGCATTCTGCTGTCATATGTAGCAAATTAAAATTTAAAAGTAAAAAGTAAAAAAAAAAAACACATTAAAAAAAACAAAAAAACACTTCTCTTTAAATAGGAAAACACCCAAATGCAGATCTTTAAAAATCAAAGTAGTCACTTTTGGTGACTTTTCAATTATGGTCTAGTGTAGCAAATTCATCATGTTTGAAATCATCCTACTTTTGAAATATATAACTTTTGGGCACTAGGGAGAAGAGTGTATGCTTTCACTTTAAGAGTCAATTTCACACAAGTACACTTTTATATACAGTAAAATGCACCCCATTTTAAATTTGAAAACAATATGTACACACCCAGGTAACTACCACCTCATTGGGAAGAAGATACAGAATATTTCTATTATATCAAAATGTTTCCTTCTGTTCCTTTGTAGTTAGCTTCCCAACTCCACACCCAGGCTCAGACAACTAGACTTCTTTGATATTAGAGACTAATTTGCATATTTCTGAATTCCATTAAATGGACTTGCAAACTATATATATTGTGTCAGGCTTCTTTCACTCGGCAAGATTTTATGATTAATCCAGGCCGAATGTGTCTGTCATTGGCTCTTTTTTTTACAGCTGAATAGTACTCCACTGCAAACTGCAATGTTGTTGGTGGTTGTTTGTAATTGGGGGTTGTTATAAATAAAGCCCTATGAACATGCACATACAAGTCTATTTCTTTTCAGTAAATAGGTATAATTTCTGGGTTATTAGCATATGTAAGTTTTACCTTAAAAGAAACTATGAAACTTTTCCAAAATCATATTATTTTATATTCCCTAAAGCAATGTTTGGCTGTATTCCTGTTGTTGCATCTCTGTGGTGATTTAAATTTTTTTTTGCTATTCTAGTAGGCAAAAGGTATTACCTGTGGTATTAATTTGCACTTCTCTGATAAGCACTTTTTTATGCTTATTAGTGCATCAATTGTAAAGTGCATTAAAATATTTTGGCTATTTTAAAAGTGAGTTATTTATCATCTTGTTGTAAGAGTTCCTTATAAAACCATGGATACAAGTCCTAGGAGAGTAACTGCAAATATTTTCTCCCAGTCTGAATTTATTTCTTAAATGACTTTTTTGTTATAGCTGGACACAGTACCTTTATTTTATTTATTTATTTTTACATAGTGCTCAGGATTGAACCCAGTGCTTCACACATGCTAGGCAAGTGCTCTATCACTTAGCTGTAACCCTAGCACCTTAAATGACTTTTTTGATAAATAAACTTTTTAATGTTTCTGAGGGCCAATTCATAATCCTTTTCCTATTATCTTCCATATTTTGGTGTCCTAAGAAATCTTTACTTGCTCCCAATTTGTGAATACACTACATTTCTTCTACAAGATTTAGTTTTAGCTTTATGTATACATATAAGCTCTATTTTGTGAGGTATCCATTGAATCTGGTTTTTGTTCCTAAACTCATTCTTTCTTTTTGATTGGGTATATTTTGAATTCCATTTTATTTCTTCTGTTGGCAGAATATGCATCTTATTTCTGAAGTTACTGCTCTAGGGTTTAGAACAGTACAAATCTTTAATCACAGTCCACTTTCACATGAGGTGTCATTACCTCCACATATCGTATTGCTTCATGTAAGATATAAGGATTTTACAATATACAGTTGGTCCTCTGTATCCAGAGTTCTGCATATGTGGATTCAACCAATTGGACGTTGAAAATATTTTGGG